AAAAGGATTAAATGCACCTGTTAAGAGACGGAGGGTGGCAGAATGGAGAAGAAAACAAGATCCTTCAATATGCTGCTTCCACGAGACACAATTTACACACAGAGAGAAAAACAGACTAAAAGTTAAAGGATGGAAAAAAACATACCAAGCAAATTGCAATAAAAAATGAACAGGAATGGCAATACTAATCTCTGATAAAATAAACTTTAAAGCAAAAAGCAGTACAACAGAGAGGTGGGGCTTGGTGGTGGCTAGGAAGGAGGTACAGTGAAGTTCGCTGTCAGCAATAACACAGAATACCAAGCAAAGCAGATCCAGAGCAGAGCTCCAAAACTCGGAACCACAGAGATAGGAATATTTTAAAGGTTTGAAGTCTTATAGCTTGTGGAGTTTGGAGCTGAAGTAAAAAATCGCGTACTTTTGAATCTGCCGAGCCAGGCTTGGGGGCCCAAGCCGACATCCTGGGCGAGACCAAGTGGCAAGACGAAACAGGGGAAGCAGAAACACCAAGGAAAAACGCCATAGGAACCTTGGGACAAAGACACTAGAGGGGGAGAGAAAGGAATAGCCAGAAACATCACCATAGAAAGCTTGTAAGTCCATCTTCTGCCTATAACTGATTGGAATCCCTAAAATGGGGCTACAACGTGCCCAGTGTAGGAGGCTTCCTGCGGAGCCTCTGCAATACATAAGACTATAGGTGGAAGCCTGAACCACATCCAGATCTTCAGAGATGGGAAATTTCCACTCGAAGGGACGAGCAGACCAGCCTGGAGTGGCTACAGAACAGAAGATACTTCTTGAAAGAAAGACCTACAGGAAAAATACAAAATAATAGAGGCAGACGGACTGTTACTCAAGAACAAACAAGTTGCTTGCCCAGGAAACATCAAGGCAAGTGGTTGGGTCCCCTCGGTGCAAAGCCCCTTCCAAGAATAAGACTCAATGGGAATACACACTCTGATTGGTGACCACGCTTGTTACCGATAAGGGGAAGTGAGGGAAAAACAGCAATGAAGTGGTGAGCTAAACCCTACAATGTGGAGAGTGGAGCGTGTTCACCTGATAAAAAGAGAGGGCATATGCACAAGAATACCCGCACTTGCAGATAAAACCCAC